GCCGAGATGGAGGATCCCTGCTTGCTTGGGCTGGATTACTTGGCACATGTGGAGGCGTGTGTGTATCTCCAGAGAAGAAGGATGACAGTAAGAGGTCATGAGGTGCCTCTAATCCTGGGAGAACATGACCCAATGGCACAGGTAAAGCCAAAGCAAGGGAGGAAACAGGAGAATGTGAGCAAGCATCACACTCGGGATAAGGCCATGTTCGCAGTTACCAGACTCACATATCCCACTACCACTTCATTTCATGTTGCAACACAAGACACCCTGCAGTCACAAGGAAAGGAAGCCAAGCTAGTAGTGCCACCGAAGAAGGAAGTACCAGAAGCTGTGCACCGAAGAAGCTGTGCCACCAAAGAAGGAAGTACCAGAAGCTGTGCCACCAAAGAAGGAAGTACCAGAAGCTGTGCCACCGAAGAAGGAAGTACCAAAAGCTGTGCCACCAAAGAAGGAAGTACCAGAAGCTGTGCCACCGAAGAATCAGAATCAGAATCAAAACGTTTATTTAGCCATAAAACAGTAATTACATTGAAGTAAAAAAAAAATATACATATAATGATACATAGCTGGGCCCTCCGGGAGTACAACTCTCTTAGGAAGACCCCTTGTATACATTACATTTATGCGATATCTTAAAAATAAATATATACAGAACATTTTATTTACAGAAAAAATAAAAATATACAGAACATTAGCTATACATTACATATTATATAGGTATTGAATGTAGTATATATTACATAAGTATATACATACATAAGTTATCCTATAAGTAGTTTACAAAGCTAGAAACTTTGTACAAGTATCACACAGTGAAGCAATAAAAGATTGATTAATAAAGATAAAGTACAGAGAAATATACATAAGACATGAACGTGGAGAAAGGAGAATCATTACACATTGTATTTGAATGAAGAAATTGTAATATTTCTTATTCTCTCAGGTAGATTATTCCACAATACCGCACCATGATAAACTATATTTGACTGAGATTGTTGAGACTGTACAAATGGAACATTTAGTAGATTATTATGTCTCATAAAATACCTTTGGTTTATCCTAAAACTAAACATTGAATTTCCTAAGACATTAAGACATTTAAAAACATGTAAACAACAATATACATTTATTTCACAGAGTTTTAAAAGCTTAAGATCAGCAAATCCTTTGTTGGTATGATCAAACTTCTTTAGTCCTAAAATTGTACGAACACTTCGTTTTTGTGCTGTACATAAGGATTTTAAGGTGTTTTTATGCGTTGCTCCCCAAACTGTTTGGCAGTACGTTAAGTGTGGGTATATTAAAGAAGTGTAAATCTGTTTCATTGCATGTTTATTTAGTACTTGTTTAGAATGGTACATTAAGCCGCATTGCTTATTAATCTTTGACTGAATGTGATTACTATGGCATTTCCAGTTTAGTTGGGGATCTAAATGGATACCAAGAAACTTAGTTGTTATTTAAGGTTTAAAACTGATGTTCCCAGAGTGATGTCTGGGAGGACATTTGGCATTCTTTTATTCCTGTGAAATATCATGTAATGGGTCTTGCCTACATTGAGGGTTAATTTATTTAGCCAAATCCACTTTCTGATACTGATTAATTCATCATTTGCTACGTTTATTAATTCTTGTATAGACCTGCTTGAAGATAATGTGCATGTATCGTCTGCATATGTAATGAAATTGAGTCTAGATGAGTTTACTATATCATTGATGTATATTAAAAAAAAAAAAAGAACAGGGCCCAGAATTGAACCCTGGGGAACACCGTGACGAATGAGAAGATATGTGCTTCTGAAAACAAACTGCCTCTGGTTTGATAAGTATGAAGCAAACCAATCATACAATTTACCACGGATACCGTAGTGTTCGTTTACCAAGTAAAATGGTGTGATTTGCTGTATCGAAGGCTTTTGACAGGTCAAGGAATATTCCTAATGTGAATTTATTATCATCAAAGGCATTTAAAATATTATTTGAAAAGTCGATGACAGCCGATTCGGTAGATGTTTCTAATGAAACCATACTGAGATTAGTTTATTATATCATTCTCAGTTATAAATTCAGTGAGACGGTTACACATAATCTTTTCAATAATCTTGTTAAATGTAATCAGAACAGATACAGGGCGGAAGTTTCCAACGTGACATCTATCTCCAGACTTAAACAAGGGGAAAACTTTTCCTATTTTCAGTTTATCTGGGAAAACACCCGAGTTAAAGGAGGATATTATTATGTGTTAATGGAGATAAGATAGCTGGAAGAATTTGCTTAATTAAAGTCACTGGAATATCATCATAGCCAGGACTCGAGCTTTTTTAAGCTATTGACAATGTTAATTATTTCCGTGTCAGTGGTAGGGTGTAGAGACATTTGATTGTCATTTCTTGGGCCAAGAAAATCTTTAAAGTCTCCATCCTGTGATGGGACTGATTGAGCCAGATTTCTCCCAATGTCAGAGAAATAGTTGTTAAACTCATCTGCTATTTTATCAGGATCGGTAATATCACTTCCATTTATGTATAGTTTGTTTGGTTTTGCTATCATTATTTCTATTAAGTATATTGCTCAGAATTTTCCATGTTTTCTTTGGGTCATTTTTGTTTTCGTCAAGTCTTTTTGAATAATAATTGCGTCTAGCGTCTCTAATAATGCAGTTCAGGCGATTTCTAGCAGTACGAAATTGATCGCCATACGTTATTGGCCATTTAGCGAACTTTTTCTGAAGCTTGTTTTTCTCTCTAATTAAAATTTTGATTTCATTTGTAATATAAGGTTTGTTGAATGATTTTAATTTCATTGTTTTTGCTTTCAAGGGGAAAAAACTTTCGAAGGATGGCATGAAAATAGAGGTAAAGTTATCATAAGCAACATTTGGATTACTTGCTCCTTTTACCAAATCCCAGCAGGCATTCATGAGGTGATTTTTAAAGCCCAAGATATGACATTCTGTATAGTCTCTGTAATATATAGTTTTTCTGTTTGAAACTATAGGGTGAATCAATCTCAAAAGTAGCGTAGAGAGGGAAATGATCTGAAATGTTACAGTAAAAAATTCCACTATTAACTGTATTTGAAATGTTATTAGTCCATATATGGTCTATGAGAGTAGCAGATTTTTTCCATGACTTGTTGGATTTCTGATTGTGGTGAAAAACAATTTAGAATTCAGAATGGATATAAACTCTTGAACTTTGCTATCTGACTGCCATTTCAGAAGATCCAGATTAAAATCCCCAGTAAGGATGCAAAACTTATTCTCTTGTGTGATTACATCAATGATTGCCTGAATTTTATCAGTCAATAGATTAATATTGCGTTTAGGGCGTCTATATAACTGCCCTATCAGTATGGAAGAGGTATTGGTTTTAATTTCAGCAAAGACTGATTCTAAGTATTCTTCTTGAACTGATAAATCTGGTCTGAAATGGGAGGAGTAGCTCCTTCTGACATAGAGGGCAACGCCACCACTGTGTCGGGATGTTGTTGAAATATGCATCATGATTTTCTATTTTGTACAACTGATTGATATCATCGGTTAATTTGGTTTCAGAGAATCCAATAATGTCAAAAATACTATTTGAACACAGGCACTGGTCAATAAATTCATTTAAATGTTCGGGAATGCTACAAATGTTATGGCTTACGACTGACAGCTGACTGACTGACTCGTTTCATGTGACTTTTTAAACTGGAAGTCACCAGGGAACACATAGGAGCACTCTGGTTCTGACAGACCAAGGTGGTTTTGCATGAAGCCATCAGGGTCATGGTCACTCTGGTGCCCGTCATTAGTGGGTGTAAAATTTGAAAAGATTCTACTTTCTAGGAATCTTAGAGTGACTGGAGAAATGTTATCTGAACTATTAAGCAAATATAAGAAATCATCATTATCTAAATCAGCAAAAGGAAAAGTTGATATAAAAGAGTCCATTATGAATGGTTGTTAACTACGTATTTACAAAAATATACAAGTGGCATACACATTACTGCTTGCTTCGCAGTCATTGGCTCACGGGGCTGAACAAGAAGGGGAAGTCTTCTTTGCGAGGAGACGTGTTGTTGCTTGAAGCTCCCTCGGGCATCTTCGGGGCTGATGCGAAAGGGCCAGGGGCGTTGTGGGCAGGAGTCGAGGGGCGACGTAACATTGGCGAAGGAGGATCGGACAAGGATGCACGTGAGGAGCGAGACTGAAGCGGGGCAGGCAGCTGCAGAGAACTGAAGGCATTTCCAGGCAGGGGCATGGGGAGCGCGGGTTCAGGCTGGTTACGCGGGTGCGAGCGCTCAGTCACGACTAGTTTTCTGTAGTTGAAATAGGCGTGTTTTCCCTCGCTCCTCGCCTGCTTCAGCTGCTCCATCTGGTCTTTCCGTGCCTTGATAGTGCCGGCACAGAAGTCTTCATGAACAAAAACTCTAACAGGTGCATTCTTAAAGTTTGCCTTTTTCTTAAAAACTGCATCACGGTCCCCAAACCTCGCAAACTTGGCCACAATGTCCCTGGGCTCGTCATGAGATGGCTTCCCCACTCGATGAGCTCGCTCTATCAGTGGGGCAAGGTTCAGGTGCTGCTGCAGGAGGTTACCAAGTTTCTGCTGCCAGGTTTCGTTGCGCTCCTCTGGGATGCCAGAGAAGCGCAGGTTGTTTCGGCGTCCCTGGTCGTCTTGATAGTCTGAGCGCTCCTCTAATCTCGCCAAGTCTCTTCGTAGGTCTCCGTTTTCCTTCACGAGGACTTCCATCCGGGTCCGCAGCTCGTCGCTCGCTTGCCTCGCGTCGGCCTCTCGTGCTTTGAGCTCCGTAATCTCTGCGTGTGTGAACTCGAGGCTGCGAATTACCTCTCCAAGACGAGTGTTTAGGTTTTCATTCTGGTGAGACATTTCGCGGTGCAATCGCTCGATTGCCTCGCCGAGCAGCTTGCTCTGAAGGTCGATGAGACCGGTGACTTCAGAGCGGCTCGGGTACGCCGCGTTCATGGGTGGCGAGGGGCGGTTCAGAGCCATGGTTTGCTTAGAGTGTAGTAGACAATCTAGAAGATCTCGGCAGGGACTGCAAGTCTGTGACGGGTTGTAAGAGTCGCTGCGGGTGCTGAAGGAGACGCAGTGGACGCTGTAGGAGGCACAGCGAGCGTGTATGACGGCGCGGCAGAACAGAGGTGCTCCCCAGGCAGTGCGTGGGCAAAAGATGGGTATGGAGAGTGGTAGGGGGAGGGGGTTACCAAGAAAGCAGATGCGCTTGTTTGTTGGTTAGCTTGTCAATCAAGATGGTCATGTCAAGTCACATAGTGCGCATGCGCAAGATTTAAAATCAGGTTAGATGGAGGGTTGAGCTTAGGCGTTTTTGATTTTGCACTGCCAAAAACACTAAGTCCAAAATACTTCTGAGCTCAACACTTATATCAGCGCCTTCACTGTATATTCACGTTACTCACTGTTCCGATTGGAAATCTCGGAGTGACCTTTATCCGTTAAAAAACGTCCAGGAAATACAGAGCACTTAGCATGCGTGACACGTGCAGGATTGGGTTGAGGGAAGTACCAGAAGCTGTGCCACCGAGGAAGGAAGTACCAGAAGCTGTGCCACCGAAGAAGGAAAGTAAGAAGCTGTGCCACGAGAAGGAAGTACCAGACGCTGGTGCCCTTCCCAACCATGAAGCAGAAACAGTTGCAGAATTCCTGGTGACCCAACTCTTCAGCCGCTTTGAGGTCCCAGGGGAGTTACATTCCGACCAGGGCCGAGAGTTTGAGTCTCAGGTCTTTAGGGAGTGTTGTCGTCTCCTTGGGATCCACAAGACCCGCACCACACACCCCTGCGCCCCCAAAGTGATGGCATTGTGGAGAGGTTCAATGCCACCCTTGTCACCCAACTAGCCAAGTATTGTGAAGAGGACCAGCATAACTGGGATGAGTGGGTCCCGTACATGCTGATGGCATATCGTGCAGCAGAACACGAGGCCATGGGGTTCACGCCCTCACGCCTGATGTTCGGCCATGAGATCCGCCTCCCAGTCGACCTCGCAACAAGAAAACCGCCAGATGAAGGATTGCCTGTATCACACACCGAGTATGTAAGGACCCTGCGGTGTCGCATGGTGGAGACCAGGCACCGAACAAGTCAGCACCTCAAGATAGCAGGACAGGCGATGGGGCGGTGGTATAACGAACAGGCCAGGGATGCAGTGTACTCCCCTGGGGATCAGGTGTGGTTTCACAGCCCACGCAAGAGGCCTGGGAAGTCACCGAAGCTCCAGAGTCCCTGGGAGGGCCCATACACTGTGGTAGAAAGGATATATGCCGTCACCTACCGCATCGCACCTGCGGGATCCAGCCGGAGAACCAAAGTGGTCCATGTGGACAGACTTTGGAGGCACTCTTGGAAGTGTGTGTTCACATGGGGCCCTCAGGTTAGTGACCATGACAGTAATAGTGACATTGTGGGAGTGACGGCGCGAAGGATTGTGACAGTGACGCTAGTGTGGTAGGCAGTGATGCGATGGACGGTGATACTGACACTGAGGATGATGATGACCGTGATAGTGATATTGGAGCTAATGATGGCATAGAAGGTTTGGAGGTTTTGACCCTTGTGTAGCAGTCAGACCACAGCGTCAGAGGCGGCTACATGTATGGCTGGCCGATTATGATACAAGGAAAAGATGAATATATATATGATTTTCTTGGCTTATGTTACTTCATTCTTTGTATGAATTTATTTGTATTTTTATTAATATACATAACACTTTGTTTTATGATCTGTATGTGATATTCTTTGATTGTTTTGCATTATTGTTTGCATGGATTTATTTGTATTCTTATGATGTTGCTTTCAATTTATTTTATGATCTGTTTGTACGATAGTCGGGTCGACTATTTCTGTGAAGGAGGATAATGTTACAAAAAGGCATACTATAACAATATAAGTGTGACTGCGTTCGTAGCGACGAAAAGCCCGCTAAAATATGTGGATGTTCGGGTGCAGAAAGGCCCGCCAAAACATGCCGTCATGTGATTAGCTGCTTGCAAGTGGAATGAGATTCCGGCGCGGTGATTGGCTCCCGGAGGGGAGTGGTGGGCTGTGCAAGAGCACGTTCTGGCTGTGAGCTGCAACCTGGATTGTATTAGACACTGAAGTAAGAGTGCCTGTTAAGGAAGAGTGTTCTGTTAAGGTGGATATAACATGCCGAATCAGTGTGTGTTTATAGAGTGACAGTAGTACTACGATGTGAGGACATTAGTACAAATAAACTGTGGAATGCTACCTGCCAGCCTTTTAAACATCCCCACCAATGTGAACACTCATCAGAGGCTGCTCACTGAGCCCAGTAAGACAGGAAGTAAATGAGTGCAGCATCTTGACAGGTAGTGATTTGTTTCAAGGCACTCAGTACTGGTGAACCTGTCTGTGTGTTTGACCTATCTACCTGGGAGGAGCGCCCCCTCATTGGGCGCCAGAAGGAGAGGGTTACATAACAATATATATATGTATATATATAACATACTGC